TGGAAGAGGGACATCACTATGGATCTCATGGATATAAAATGATAATACAAGAAAACCATGCTCACAAATGTGATGAACTAGAAGGAATAAACCAATTTTTTAAAAGACATAACCTGCAAAAAAACTTATACAAGAAATAGATAATTTGAATAGGGCTTTATCTACTAAAGAAATTAGATCATTAATAGCCTTCCAAAACAGAAAAACTGGACCCAGAGTAGTTCACTGATGAATTCTATAAAACATTTATGTAAGCAATTATACCAATCTTATACATTATCTTTCAAAAGACAGAAGCAAAAGAAATACTTCCTACCTCATTCTATGAGGATGCTATGTCCTAAACCAAAGCCAGACAAAGACTTCACAAGAAAAGTACAGACCAATATGTCTCAGGAACACAGATGCAAAAATTTTCAGTGAAATATTAGCAAATTGACATTGTATAAACCAACAATGTATAAAAAGAACTATATACCATGACTAAATGAAATTTACCTCAGGTAAATAAATAAGGCTGGGTCAACATTTGAAAATCAATTAATGTAATTTATCACATCAATAGGCCAAAAAAAAAAAACAAAAAAACAAAACAAAAAAAAAAAAAACTCCACATGATCATACCAATAGATGCAGAAAAAACATTTGCCAAAACTGAATATCTATTTATGATAAAAGAAAAAAAAAACTCTCAGCAAACTGGAAATAGAGGGAAACTTACTTAATTTGATAAATTAAAAAAATCTATGAATAACCTAAAACTAATCATACTTACTGGTGAGACTTGAAGCTTTCCAACTAAAAGCAGGAACAAGGCAAGGATGTCCCCTCTCACCACTGCTTTTCAATATTGTACTGGAAGTCCTAGCTAATGCAATAAGACAAGAAAAGGAAATAAAAGATACAGATATGGAAGGAAGAAATAAAACTATCTTTGTTCACAGATGACATGATTGCCTATATAGAAAATCCAAAAGAATAAACAAACACATAAACCAAAAACAAAAACAAAAAGCCCTCCTGGAACTAATTAGTAATTAGAGCAAGGTTGCAGGATATAAGGTTAACGTACAAAAGCCAGTTGTTTTTCTGTGTACAACCAATGAACAAGTGAATTTGAAGTTAAAAACACAATACCATTTGCATTAACACTTAAAAAATGAAATAGGTCAAATCTAAATTTACAACATATATATGAGAAAAATGACAAAAATTTGATGAAAGATATCAAAGAATTAAATAACTGAGAGATATTCTATATTCATGAATAAGAGAATTGATATTGTCAAGATGTCAGTTTTCCCAACTTCATCTAGAGATTCAACATTCTCAGTTAAAATCCCAGGAAACTATTTTGTTGTGTTTATTGTCAAACTGATTCTAAAGTTTATAACAAAAGGCAATAGATACCGGATAGCCAACTCAATATTGATTGACTAGAATAAAGTTGGGTGGACTAACATTGCTTCAAGATTTATTATAAAGTGACAGTAATCAAGATAGTGTAGTACTGTTGAAAAAAAAATAGGTCAATGGAACAGAAATAGACCCAAATAAGTATAACTGATCTCTGACAAAGAAGCAAGGCAATACAATGGGGCAAAGTTAGTCTAGTCAACAAATAGTGCTGGAAAACATGTGGGGTGCCACATGTAAAAAAGTGAATCTAAACACAAACCCTTCACAAAAATGAACTCAAAATGGATCACTGAAGTAAATGTAAAATGCAAAACCTAAAACTCATAGAAGATAACATACAAGAAAAACTAAATGATCTTGGGTACAGTGATGGCTTTTTAGATACACCATCAAAAGCATGATTCATGAAAGAAATAATTGATAAGCTAGACTTCATTAAAATTAAAAACTTCACCTCTGTGAAAGACAATACCAAGAGAATGAGAAAACAAGTCAAACTGACAGAAAGTATTTGCAAATACTCATCTAATATAGCCCTGTTCCCCAAAATATTAAAAAAAAACACTTAAAACTTAACAATAAGAAAATGAACAACCTGATTTTAAAAATGGGCAGAAGACTGTAACAGCTTACCAAAGAAGACACACAGATGGCAAGTAAGCATATGAACAGATGTTCAACATGTCATCAGGAAAATGCAGACTAAAACAATGAGATGCTACTAAACACCTATTGGAATGGCCAATATCCAAAATGCCCAAAATACCAAAAGTGTTGAACAGGAACTTTAATTCACTCCTGGTGGGAATGCAAAATGGCTAGCTCTTTTGGAAGACAGTCTAGTCATCTTTTGGAATCATTCCAAATCATCTTTTGGAAGATTGCTGATATGGTAAACACATTCTTACCATATCAGCAATCACACATTTTGATATTCACCCAAAGAAGTTCAAAACTATATCTGCACAAAAACGTAAACACAGATTTTTATAGATGCTATATTCATAATTACCAAAGACTTGAAAGCAACCAAGATAGACCTCAGCAGACGAATGGATAAATAAACTGTGTTACATTCAGACAATGGAATATTATCGAGAACTAAAAAGAAATAAGCTCTCAAGCCACGAAAGACATGGAAGAAACATAAATGCATATTGCTAAGTGAAAAAAGTCAACCTGAAAAGACTATACCTTTATGATTACAACTACATGACATTTTGGAAAAGGCAAAACTATGGAAAGATTAAAAAGATTAGTGATTGCTAGGATTCAGAAGAGAGAGAAGGATGAATAGGGGGAACAGAAAGGATTTTGAGGGCATGAAATTATTTCATAAGATAATACATTGGTGAATATGTATCATGATACATTAGCCAGGATCCATAGAATGTACGATCCAAAAGTGAATCCTAATGTAAACTATGGACTTCAGTTGATAATGACATATCAATATAGGTTTACCCATTGAAACAACTATACTGGACTGGTGGGAAAATTGATAGTAGAAGAGGCTGTATTCTTTGTATGTGAGTGTGAGTGTGCTTACGCACAGATACACATGCACAAGGGTATATGGAAACTGTCTACTTTCCTCAATTTTGCTCTGAACCTGTAACAGCTCTAAAAAAAAAACAAAGCATGGGATCCCTGGGTGGCTCAGTGGTTTAGCGCATGCCTTCTGCCCAAGGTGTGATCCTGGAGTCCCGGAATGGAGTCCCCACATCAGGCTCCCTACATGAAGCCTGCTTCTCCCTCTGCCTGTGTTCTGCCTCTGTGTGTGTGTGTGTCTCATGAATAAATAAATAAAATTAGAAAAAAAACCAAAGCATATCAATGAATAATTTTAAAAAGACACTAAACAACTCAGATAACCCACAGACTTTAAGATATCTATTATAACTATAAAACAATTGGTCCAATTATTTTATGACACACTTTCTTTTTAAGGGCATATGCTACATTCACCAAGATAGACTATATCCTGGGCCATAAAGTAATTGTCAATAAATCTACATGGAATGAGATCATATCAAGTTCATTTTCAGAGGAAAATGGACATCTACACTGAAAACTAGGAAACCTTGTGAAAGGAATTAAAGAGTGAAATAAATGGAAAATTATACCATATCCAGGAAATGGAGAACTCAATGTTTGTTAAAATATGGATTCTCTTCATTCTGATCTACAGCTTAAATGATATTCCAATTAAAACCAAATTTTATTTAAATGAAAACTCAATTTTATTTTAGAAATCAGTAAGCTTATTCCAAAATTTACAAAGAATACCAATAACCTAAAAGAGCTAAAGCAATGTTTGCAAAGAATAAAAGTAAGAGCAGTTACCCCACGTGATATCAAAACTTTCTACTAAACTACAATAATCAAGATAGTTTGGTATTGATGAAAAGATAGACAAATCAATGGAATAGGGTACTAGTTCAGTAATAGGTCTACTCAAATGTAGCCCTGATTTCTGACATAGAAACTACAGCAATCCCATGCATGAAATGGAAGTCTTCTTTATAAAGGATGAACTGGATATCTTTGTCTAAAAACAATCAACATTAACTTTTACCTGATACCATACACATATATTGACTCAAAATATGGCATGATCTATGTGTAAAACCTAAAACTACAATATATCTGATAAAAGAAGAAAATTTTTGTACTTTTGGTGTAGGTAAAGGTCTCTTAGAACGCAAAAAGTATAAACAAAAAATTGACAAGTTATAACTTTATCAAAATGAAAAGCATCTACTCTTTAAAAGGCATTGTTAATGAAATAAAAAGGCAAGCCACATGCTGGAAAATTATTTGCAAAACTCCATCAGACAAAGTATGAAGGATTTATTTTTAAGACTCTTAAAACTCCATAATCAAAATAGAGCACCCAATTTTTTAAATGGACAAAAGATACCTCGTGGAAGAAGATGCAGAAACAGCCAGTGAGCACCTGAAAAAATGCTCAACATCACCAGTTATGAGGGAAATGTAAACTAACCCCACAATGAAACACTACTACAAAACCACTGAGAATAGCTAAAATTTAGAAGACTATAACATGGGTTGGCAAGGACACAGAGCAACTGCAACTTTCATTTACTGCTGGAGGGAGTGTAAAATGATTAATGTCACTTTGGAACACAGTTCAATAGTTTCTTTGTTCTTTTTTAAACTTAAATATGCACTACCAAATAACCAAAGCATTCCATTTTTCGGTATTCAATCAAGACAAACAAATTAAAAAGATGCCCACAAAAAACTTAAAAACAACAACAACAAAAATAACTTATACATGAACGCTCATAGCAGCTAAATGCAGGAGCCAAAATCTGGAAAGGATCCAAATGCCCACTAATAGAATGAATGGATGAACAAACTCTGCTTTATTCATACAGTAGAATACTGCTCAGCAATTTTTTAAAAAGCAAAATAATGATATACATGAAACACAGATAAGTCTCAAAAACATGCTGAGTGAAAAAAGCCAAGCTAAAGATAATAGACTCAGTATCACTCTGTTTATTAAATTTTTAGAAAAAATAAGCTATAGTGATTTAAAAGCAAGTGAGTAATTTCGTAGGGTTAGGGGAGAAGAGATAGATTATAGAAGTCCATGAGGAAACTTATGGGTGTGATGGCCATTATTTTCTTCAATTAGCAATAATTGTTCCTCAGATAAACCTTATTGGCTACAATACTGCCACTGCGCAAAGCTCATGATTATTTTCTTGATGATGATGGTTTCAGATGTGTAAACATCACAATTGATCAAAGAGTTACACTTCTAATATTAGCAGTTCATTGTGCTTCAATTATATCTCAATAGATAGATTTTAAAAATCTCAAATGTTACTAGGTAAATGCATCTAGACTGGGAAAAGTAGATAAATGGGAAAGCTACCTCCATCCTGTTATATTGTTCTATAGGAAAACCATATCCACTAACAATTTTTTAAAAAGCATACACTTTGGAAAATATACATAGTAAAAATATACATAGGCCTCACAAAGTAGTAATCAAATTCTTACTGGAACATTTGAGATGGCTATTATTACTTTAAGGTAAGTTTTCTGGCCTTGTAAAACTACTGAAATTGTGTAACTTTTATAAACTATTATTCATTGATTTCTCCCAAGAAACCTGCATCCCAAAATTATGCTGAGAAGTTTGAAAAATTAAAAAATTTCATCAAAGAGCGTTTCCACTTAAAAAAATAACGAATCTGCCCAAAGATAGAAAATTGTTAAAAAAAATGCTTTCATCATTAAAAAAGATCAAAATAGCAATATTTTGAAAACTTGGGTTATAATGGCTACAACTTGATATGTACTAAAGAAATTTCCTGTTTAAAAGAATACAAAATTAATTTTATTGATAATGAATACAGGCAATGTAGTTATTTTTCTAATTTAGCTTTTCCTCCCATCTTTGAAGTGTATTATCAAGCTAGGAAAAAAAAAAAAACAAGGTTGTGCATTAGTGTTGGTTGGATATATTGTGCCTGCTTGAAAGTATTCATCTACCCCGACCCTGTTTCCCCTGCTAAGTTCTGTACCCAGGTGCTACCTTTTTAGGAAGGGAAAATTTATCTAATCCCTACAAGATACCTTGTAGACAAGCAGTAGCGCAGGAATCAACTACTTCATTTACAAGACAAAATGCCACATAAAACCTTTGATACATGGATCTCTATTGCTCTTCCATATCAAAAATGTATAAGAATATTTGACATGTCATAGTTGTAAGATGATAAAAAAGAATGCAAGTAATTATAAGAAAACTACACAGTAATACATAATTAAGTTAACACATAATATTATACCAGTATTTTAAGCACTTTACATAAATGAGCTCACTTTTAAAATACATATACTTACTAGGGAGATAACATTACTATCCCTATTTGAAGAATGAGAAGTTAAAACTTACACAAAGTAAAAATAAACAAATAAGTAAAAAAATTTCTATAAAGTAATTACATAGAGAAATGTAATTAAGCTATTCTGGGATTCAAAATTAAATTTTTCTGATTCAATAATGAATTTTTATATTCACTCCACTATGCTGAAATTATATAATCTGAATTATGACTCCATAAATTCATTTTGGCTTTTTTATATAAACTAATTTGTCATAGTTAAAAAAAATTAGTTTTGCTTTTATCTGTTTAGTGTTGAATTCTTAGAAGTCTTCAGGCTGTATTTCAAATATGGCCATGTTTAGAATTTTGCCATTACAGTACCATTCCATAAATGTAGGGTAATATACAGATGAAATTATATACTAAACAAATTTGCATCTAAATTGGAATGACACTATTTCCAAAGAAGTGATATTTCTAGTTTTCAAAATAATGAATCACTGATTTTTTGTCATCTCCACCATCACAACTGTTTATCAAACATTAAAATAATGCATATATTTATCTTGAAAAAAAGAACATATTGTGATAGTCTAAAACTGTAATTCAAAACTCTAAACTGGACCCTGGAGAGAATGAATGTAATATATGGGAAATAAAGTGGGGTACAGTCTGTGCATGGGGGATGGGCAGGCAGTGGCAAGGGAAGGGCTGTTTGAATAAGACATCTAATCAACAAGTACCTATAACAAATACATTTCAGGGCAGTAAATGTTGAGAACATTAATAATTAATTTGTATTTTTAATACACATTATTTAATTTAAATTTTTTTCTCTTCTGTATTTCCTTTTTTTATTTTTTAAGATTTTTATTTATTTATGAGAGACACAGAGAGAAAGGCAGAGACATAGGCAGAGGGAAAAGCAGGCTCCCTGTTGGGAGACTGATGTGGACTCGATCCCAGGACCCCGTGATCACAACCTGAGCCCAAGGCAAACACTCAACCACTGAACCATTCAGGTGTCCCTGAATATCCTTTTTTTTTTAAAGAATTATTTTATTTATTTATTTATTTGAAAGAGAGAAAGGGAGAGAATGTGCTCATGCATGTGAGCATGGGGAGAGGGGGTAGGGGCAGAGGAATAGCTTAAGAAGACTCCACTCTGAGCCAGACATGGGGCTCAATCCCTTGATCTTAAAAAAAAAAAAAAAAAAAATCCCTTGATCTTGAGATCATGACCTGAGGCAATATCAAGAGTCAGTTGCTGAGGCAATATCAAGAGTCAGATGCTTAACCAGCCAGGTGCCTCTTCTTATATTTCCTCTTTATATATTCCTACCTTTTATGATGAACAAAGTTTACTCTTAATTTCCATTGCTTAAAGTTCCAAAGGCTCTGTAACTATGTATAGCAACAGACTAATGTATGAAATGAAACCATCCACTGATATAGTTCTTCTATGTTACTCATTTATGTTCCCAGAAAATAAAGCCGTATTACAAAAATAAATTTAGTCTGTTAAAATAAACTGACATTCATAGTTTAATTTTAAAATAGAATTATTAAGTTAATTTGTTTACAATAGTCATCTAATAAATATTTATTATCATTTCTGTGCAATCAATACAAGATATTGGAAGATATTACTGTATGTTGCCTGAATGAGTTTATCATTTAATTTAGTATGATATAATGTGTTAAAAACATTTTGTTTAGAGTTAAAGGCTTAGGTATACACATGCTGAGAAAAATCAGAAACAATCAATTAAATAATCTGAAAGTTTCACAAATGTTAATTATAGTTATAAGTTATGTATATCAATGCAGGAATGCAATATTCTCCTGCACTGAATGTACACTGTTCTATGAAAAATACTGTCTGTGTATATATGTGTGTATATATTCAAACATCAACCAAATACAGAACAACTTCTAAGTAAACCCTGTCTGTTAACCTGTAATATATTATAGAGCTTTACTTTATTATACTTTGAAAAACAAACTACTTCAGAAATTGTATAGGGGATCCCTGGGTGGCACAGCGGTTTGGCGCCTGCCTTTGGCCCAGGGCGCGATCCTGGAGACCCGGGATCGAATCCCACGTCAGGCTCCCCGCATGGAGCCTGCTTCTCCCTCTGCCTGTGTCTCTCCCTCTCTCTCTCTCTCTCTCTCTCTCTCTCTATCATGAATAAATAAATAAAAATCTTTAAAAAAAAAAAGAAATTGTATAAAACCAATGATCACAGTACTGAATAACATCTCAGGGGTGCATCCCTTTATGGGATCAGGACCCAGGTCTGTTTGTTCTGTTAAAAATTAAATAATTAAAGGACAAATTACCAGATCCAATGATTGAAGGATTAAAAGAAAGAATGTGGTTATCATTATTGGTGAATTATAATTGGAAGGAAACTTCTTACCATGACCTTCACATTAATAAAAAAGTGATTTTAAAGATGTTAAGTTCAGCTTTTGCAATATGATCTCTATTTTATACCTTGGAAACATTAACAAAGAACAGAGAAAGAATATCTGACTTGCACATTTCCCTAAATTAATCTCCCAGAAAAGGAAGTGAAGAAAATGTTCTTTTCTCCAAAGAAAATAATACAAAGTACCAAGAGTAAAGCCATTTGCCCTTCCCAGGAGAATAGCATGCCTGTGTTCAAATCAACCAATCTCTGTAATGTTTCCCAGTCGTTACAGCCATCATTGTCTACTCATTCTCTTACTGAACAATAGAAAACATCACCGCTACACCCACAGGGGAAGAAAGTAGGTCACCCTTTCATTTTCAACTTTGCTTTATAGCATATATTGATTGTTACTGTTATTAACTCAGTTCATCTGATTTAACAATATTCAGCTTCAAATAAAATTTGATTAATTTTTACCTCAAAAACTTCTTCATCCAAAATTCTCGTTCCAAACACAGTGATTCCATTGGTGTCAACGATTGCTCTCTCGCTTCTATCAAGTGGTTTTGTGGTTTTCTTCTTACAATCCACAATCATCGTCACAGTTTTCTTCTCCACACTGATTGCTACCCGATGCCACCTAAAAAAGCCAAGTAATTCTTTTGTAAGCTTCAAAGACATTGTTGCCACATCATTATTCATGTTAAAATGCACTGTATTTTAAACTGTGAAAGTGAGCTGAAATTGTACAAAATGTAAGCTCATTTTTTAATCAGTTGGTTAACAGGTGACTACGTATTGCTTACCCAGAAGGGCGGTAGGTACTAAAAAGACACAAACAGTTTAAATTGCACACCAGTGGTGGCTGTCTATGCTGATAAGAAAGTGCCCATCCTTTGCTTCACTTTGTGCTATTGCAACAAAAGCTTAATCTCACCATGTCATGATGAGTGTATTTGATAGAGATCGGTGTGGGATATGGGGTAAGTAATAGTTTCTACGTACGTAAATGCTTTCTTCCAAATGGAATTCCACTTAATTTTTTTTTTCTCTAGAGATCCCCTGAGATGAACTGTAAAAGGGTATGTCTACTAATTGAATGACTGCTCCATCTGGAACTGAACGTTCTAATTGTAAAACACAATGTGCTTCTCTGTCTTTATGCACATTTATTTCAAGTGCTTTCGTTTTCTTTTTCCACTTTAATTTCAAGACAGTTATAGATCACTCCTGTGGGCAGGATCCAAAACTGAGACACAATATCTCTCCTTCTTCCCAGGGCTGGCAGGAAGTGGGAACACTGAAAGAAACACAGTCAATGCATGTGTGGAATGAGAGTCTCAATTCACTCTGAAGCTACTGCTCCAGCTAATTCAGGGTGGCGATGACAGGCTGAGGGGGTAGACATGGCCAGCCTTTTGGAAACGTATATA